GGCTACAAAGCCAAAGCCCTGACAAAGTGAAATCTCTCACGATCCATTTGGACTAGAGGCCGCCAGCCATTCTGGTGCCTCTTTTTATCGGAAAGAAGTCAGGAAACATCAAGAACAGGTGTTACTGCCCAAAAGGGAATGAAGTCTTACTGCTACACTGAATCAAGAGTATGGGTGTCCTAGCAGTTACAGGAGTGTGGCTGACAGCGTAGATTGCTAGCTCAAGAACTTCAAACAGAGGTGTACACCAGGTCCTCTCTCTCAATGTGTAGTCCAGCTTTTCCATATACCCAAGACATTAAAAAAGCACCAAGCTCCACCATTAAAAAGACCTCATGCAGACCAATTACACTTTTTCTGTACATAACAGCATCTGCCGAATCTGCATATCTGCAGTGGGGAAAACATTTGTGCCACAGACATACTTTAAAGCACATATATGTCTCCAAACCCAGAGATTGTCTCCATGTAGAGCAAGGTTACCCAAACTTGGATCTCCAACTGTTTTTGGACTACAACTCCCATTATCCCTAGGGTAGCAGGACCAGTGGTCAGGGATGATGGGAACCGTAGTCCAAAAATAGCTGGAGGCCCAAGTTTGGGAAACCCTGATGTAGAGCAAACTTAATTCATGAAGCAGCTGTGACACAGCCACTCCTCCCAATACCTTGTATCTGAATTCAGTCTCCTATAAGAAGTAACCCACTTTGGCTGTTCAAACAAAATATCTGTAATCTTTGAACGATGAGGCCTATAAGATCAGTCTTAAGGCCACCTCATGGGGTGTGTTCTCTCTTAAAATACTGATATATGACTTCGCCTGCTGTCTAGATGAGCTGTCTTTTCTGAGGAAGTCTCATATTTAGAGCAGAGAACAAAGTTGGCTAAGATGAGCTTTCGCTTCAAAGTGGCAGAGTCTAGGTTGTTCTTATTGAACAAAACACCTACATTTCTGTAATACAACAGCTACGACACTACCTTGGGGTTTCACAGTTTTCCTAGTGCTGAGCTGAGAAGGCTACAGACTAAAAAAAGCTCCAAAACCAACTCTATTTACCCTCCTAATAAACAAAACAACTCTTCTCTGCTTATGTGGGGCCTACACTCTCTTAATCACATGTCCTAAAAATGACCTTCAACCTGGCCTCAGGCCAGTCTTTGCATTCCAGATTCACTGAACTAAAAATCAGTATCTTGCTTGTTCTCAGTCTGCAGGGATTAGACGTAGATACCAGTTTCCCCGTGTTAGAAAAACATTCCACATAGACAAGACGACTCCAAGCAGGGCAAGATGCAGAGCAAATTCAGTGTACAGAATGTTCGATCAACAGAGTAAAGCTCCTGCCACCCCACATCCGTAATTAGCATGTTGAGCACCAGTCCTTTCCTAAGCTATGCTTCCAAGACACAATCTTATGGGCCACAACCCAACACTCCACACATTATGCTTTTAAGATATAAAGTGGTACCTCAGGTTAAGTACTTAATTCATTCGGGAAGTCTGTACTTAACCTGAAACTGTTCTTAACCTGAAGCACCACTTTAGCTAATGGGGCCTCCTGCTGCTGCCGCGCTGCTGGAGCACGATTTCTGTTCTCATCCTGAAGCAAAGTTCTTAACCTGAAGCACTATTTCTGGGTTAGCGGAGTCTGTAACCTGAAGCGTATGTAACCTGAAGCGTATGTAACCCGAGGTACCACAGTACATATTAAAAAATGCACGTTAAGCATGAATGGGTTAAACACGTTTTCACACATGTGTCATACATGTACTGTACACCTCCTCTGGGACACAGAATTGGCTATTGGGTGCTCCTACGGCAAACCTGAGTCCTTTTCTGCAGCAAAATGTGCAACGTGCTCAGCTGAGTTTGATGAGCACATGCTGACTTCCACTAATGCACACCTGCATCTATTATATACTCTGTTTGTACAAGGATTTTGTTCTTCCCAAGAGACTAATACATCCAATGCATATACTAAGCCACTGCGTGCCTTCCTCTCTACATTCACATTCAAAAGGCACTACACCGACTTCTGTACTAGAAAATACTTATAAGCTTTGAAAATTAGAACCTTCGTCAGGGAGGGGCAAAAATATCAAAGGTGGAAGCAACTCAAAATTCAAGCCATTCCTTAGTTCAGACCCCAGTATCAACATGCCTTGGGTAAAGAGGACCCCCTTACTTGATTAGGTGCTTCCTAAAAAATTCTGCTAAATACAATTCTGCCTGGTAGAAGATGCAGTTATTGCCGGCTGTGTTTACACAGGGAATAGCCAGCTGTAATTATAGGAACGATGTTATGATAACAGGAAACCCATGCCCTGTGGAGATATTGAGGAGAGGCATACAGCTATTTGCTAATTACCAACAACAAGAACCCTTTGTGTAGCTGGGGAAGGATGAGTTCCCTCTACTTTGTGGACTTAGGCCCACAGATGTTTTAAATCATCCACATCAGAGTTATTCTGCAGTCTCCAAGGCGTATGCACAGTTATCAGAGTTCTTTGGTTCTTGCTGACAGAGCAGAGCCATCGTCCTCAGGAATTTCCCCCCCAAATGCATCTACTTAGTGTAACACAGGCAAATGTGTGTGGCAAAACTGCAGAAGCTAACATGAAAGTAGCAATGCAACTTCATGGCAAAGGCAGGAAGAGCAGAAATGATGGCAACCTCAAAAAGGCTGGCAAAGGTCCTCTAAACAAGAAGGAAGCCTGCTCTAAGGAGACCTTTAAAAGAGACCAGCTGAGCCTGCTATTTGCTATTTTCCCTACAAGACTTGCTGAAGACACGAAGAAAAGCAATCTGGCTTTAGCACATTGCACAGAAAAAGGCACTTGACATGTAATATTGGCCTGTATTTTTAAAATATTTCTGCCCCAGGAGAGATTGTACAGAGGGTAATACTTCTGCTGAAAGAGCAGATGGAAAGGATACTAGATAAAAGCAAGTAACAGTTGTTCAAGGTCAAATCCTTCCATACAGAAATAGCTCCAAACGTTATGAAGAAATTGTGCACATGGAAATATCTGCCCCTTCCATTCCATTGCTCTCACCCTCTGGCTTTTGCCCTCTTATGGTCCAAGCAACATAACCCTACAAAACCCCAAAGAAAGAGCTTCGTTGCACTTCCGGGTTGGCGCGATCCGGGAATGGCGGATTCCCTCCGAGCTCCGGAGGGAATCGGCTCAGCGGTGGATGGGTCTTTGCCGTGCCGGCGACACGGGGACCCTTAAAAACCGCAGGTGCAGATGCCTGCGGACTGAAGACTCGGCGGGTGCCTTAAGCGCCCCCCCTGATTCGCGAAGAGCCTTTTTAAAGGCTATGGAGGGGATACGGGGGACGGCGCGGCACTGAGAGTCGATCGCTACCGCCGCTGAGCGAAGCCGCGAGCCATAACTGGAGAGCGCTGACTTCCTTCCTTGAAATTCGGACTGAAAAAAAAGAACCCGTGAGTAATTTGGAACTGAGCTTTAAAAACTTTTACCTTTTGAATTTGAGACGACCGGGGGGGTGTGCCAAAAGGAAGTCCCCATCCCCCCCCCTTGCAGACGATCCAGAGCAACGATATAAGAGCTAAGCTGGAGTGCCTACCCTGCAAAGGGTGAGTTTTAAAAAAGACAGTAACTTCCAAGATTTGGAAAAGCAAATTTAAACAGGAGAGTGGAGTGTTGGAAGAGTTTTTGTTTTGTGGTAAACAACCCTCCCTCCCGAGCCCGGGAGCGATCTGCTTTGGAGCCTGTATAGAGGAGCAGAATTTGACAGCTGTCAAAGCTGTCAAATGGACTGTTAATACTGAAAAAATTGCTACTTAAGACCTCTCCGGATAAAAAGGAGTTACAATTGAACTAAAATTTTGGGAAACAAAGAAACAATAATAGGACAGAGGATTGTTGGAGAAAAGACCATCCAGTAACCAGATTCCCTCTAGGGGGAATTCTGTGGAATTACAATGGCTGTGGGTGGAAAGATACTGAGAGAAATCGAAAGGATGTTTTCACTGGTGGGAACCTTACAGGAGCAGACTACAGCTATGAGTAAACAACTGACGGCCTTGGATTTGGAAACAAGTAGCTCTGCTGAATGTAATGAGGACTTGAATGAGAAAGAACCCACAGCTGAATTTGAAATAATAAACAAAGAAGAGGAGAAGACAAAACAAGAAAGAGAACAAGTCATGTGGGAAAATACTAACCAGAAGCCGATATTTGGAGAATACAAACAAGGAGACCATTGGATGGAATCTATTCCAAGCCTACGAAAGATACAGAAGATGAAAGTGGAGGCCCTGGGAGTTTATGGAACTCAGGAACTCGAAATAAAGAAGTACAATTGGGGCCTCCACATAGACTTTGATTTTGACCATCACCAAGATTCAGGCCTTGTGGAAATTCCTCAGCAGTTGCTTATAAATATGGGAAGAGACTATGGACTGATTGGATTGAATGTTAATGGAATCTTTCGAGACTCGATGACTGACAAAGAGGACTACCAACAAAACCGGCGGAGAGGGACTGAAATAGATTTGAGAGCCTCGGATGTGCGGAATCCAGGCTAAAAACTGTTATTTTGGACATGTCTTGGGAAAGGACGCAAAGCGGGGATGGGAGGGAGGGAAGCATAAACTTAAATAACACTCAAGACCAGGGGTTTAGTAATAAGGAAATTACTTAAGAAAAAATGAGAAATCGAGGGAAGAGAATTGGGGTCCAACTTAGGGAAAACTTATTTTTTGTTTCTATAAAAGGACTAATATTAAGAAGGAAGAAATGCTAACTTGCTGACATAAACCTGAGAACAGGGATGCAAGGGAGGGGGTGGGGGGAAGTCAAGGACTAGGGTTAGAAAATAAGACTTTTTGGAACTATTCATGTTTGCTGTTGTTGTTTTTTTTATGTTTGTTTTGGTGTTATGTGTTTTGTTTTTGTCTTTATAAAATGTGAAAACCCAATAAAAATTATTAAAAAAAAAAAAAAGAAAGAGCTTCGTTGCCCCCTACCTTTTTTATCCTGCCTCTCCGTGTCCCAGCAAAGACCACGGTGTGCCCACGGTAGTCATACGCAGCCACTGATGTCATGCCATCTTCCTTGTCCACAAAGAGCGGCACACCTTCAATGGTGACTGTTCCACCCAATGGCTGGTTAAAATCCTGACCACAGAAATTGTCATCAATTTGCAGGGGCTGTGGGAGAGAAAGGGAAGGAAGAGATTAGCTGTTTGACAGCATTCCAGCATATCATGTAAATGGCTGTGAATGAGAAAATGGTACAGAAATCTGCAAAGTCACCACAGATACAAAAACGTATAATTCTAGTGCAGTTGCTGATGGCTTCCTTAGGAACGCATGTGTAAGGCAGTCACAGGTGCAAGAACTCTCTTAAAAACCCTCTTCCTATTCCTTCCCATGAATTTCAAGAGGCCCGTGCAGCCTCTCACTCCATCAATGTTCCTTAAAAAAATTCCACAATTCCACAGGCACATATCAGGATATGTGGTGCACCACTTCACCATCTAATTTCCACTTTCAGAATCTTTTCAGAAGAGTGCAAAACAAGGACATGGGACAGTTCCCAAATGTGGAAATTATCAAAGTGAAGGAATGAAACCAAAATAAAAAGGTAGCATTTCTGAAGTTCCAACATCTATATAAAATTACTGTAAAAATCAATACACTTGAATAAAACAAAAACAAAAAATTGCTGGGATGCAGCAAGTAAGAGACACTTCACACACTTCATGTTAGAGGCAAATGCATGTTAACATTTAGTGTGCACTGGCTTCTACCCCATAACAAGGTGGCAACATTGTTTTTTAAGTGCATATGAACTGTAGGAACTAGCCCTGCCTCCTTGTAGTATGTTTTTGTGGTAAACACACCAATACAAACCCTATCTGCCATGCTCATTGCAAGGTAAAAGTGAGCACAAGCTGCAATTTTAACACGGACCTGTTCCTGCGAATCTTTCTTTCAAGAGTGGCCTCAGCAAATTGCACAGTAGGTCACCAGTATGCCAGGATCCTATTCCCTTGCATAGTTAGCACAATGCTCAGTCTATGCCTGTATAGGGCAGAGATGCAGCAACCTGAAGCCCAGTTCAGATGCAATAACAGAGATGCAGTCCCAGGGGCTGCAAACAGGTTTTGCACCTGCAAACTCCTTCTTCACTCTTTCCTTTGCACCCCCAGTTTTGGTGAAGATTTCTTTGTTTACAAGCTACCTGGGTGAGACTAATTAACAACATGCTAATCAGCTTAAGAGACCATCTTGCACCATGTGTGTCTACTGAACCTCTCAATTTGAGGAACTTACACTTTTACAAGTGTCATATAAGGTTCGCTTTGCATCTGTGAGGAGTCAATCTTTTCAATGTAGAAGCTTTGGAACTCGCCATTATCCACATCTCATTAAGGCCAACTTTTGATTCAATCAGATACCCTAATGGCAGGTCATAGCAACCGTTATGCTCCTGTATCATTTTCAATGGTTTACGGCTACATGAATACTCCTCCTTCAGTTGAGACTGTAAATTGCTAGAAAAAGCAGCAAACTGACCAGGGTGTTTAACTATTTAAAGGGCAACCTTCCATGAATGGAATCACCATCACTTCCCCATATTCTTTGTTCACTTAATGTTTCCAAAAGCATGGTGACCTACATACCTACCAATTGTGCCACTTTGCCAAAGAGCTAAACTACAGAAAATGGAAGTGACCAGCTACAGGTCTGGAGAGAGACCTTAAACCATATTTTCCCACTTCAAAAGTCACAAGAAACTGTAGTTTAAGAAATCAGGAAATTTCTGCTGAAGCTGGACATATGAAGCATCAGCATAACCACGGAGGGGGGCGGGGGGGACAGCTGGCCCCCGAAATAAATAAAAATCAATATAAATACATAGCGAACTGAGGTTCTGCCCCCCCCCAGCAAAAGGCCTGCCCCCCCTAACAAAAATCCTGGCTACACCCATGATTATGAAGAGAGGAAGGATGGGGGGAGTGAAGAGGGAGCATGTGGGCACACAGCTTATTCTTGTTTTAATAAACCACAGTTGGTAATATTAGCTTGTGTTGCAGCAAATCTCTCATCTAATTATTCTTCTCCAGGTGGAGAGAGATATAGATCTGCTTCAGCTAATGGAGCACCTTTAGATAAAAGACCTGTGCTGCTACTTTGAGGCAGAAGAGTTCTATGTTTACCTATTACTATTATTAGTTTATTACTATTATTATCATTACCACTGCCATTATTTATGCTGTAAAGTTCACTACACTCTGTACAAATGATAACATAGGCATGCCCTTGCAGAATGGCTTGCAACAGACACAACACAAGGAAAAAGGGACAGGAGCAGAAAGGAGAAAATACACACATTCAGAGTTTAAGCGGGTTGAATGTCCACTGAAAGAATCTGTTCTTAGAGATTAGAATGCTAGAGGGGGCCTGGCCATCTCTTCCTGCTTTATGACAGCTGCCTGGTGCCTAAACCTACTTTGAAACCACACAGTAAAGTGAGCGTAGTGTTGTAAAGGGTCTAAAGCATGTGGAAAAAAGTTGTCTGTCCTTTTACAGGGGCCAAGATACTGTGGCTAGCAGCTGGTCTAACAAGAGACGAGGCCTTCCATGCACATGTTTTAACCAGCACCACTTGAGGAATTCTTCTTGTCAGCTTTTATCACAGTCTCAAGGATTCATTGTGCAGCTCTTCGCATCTGTGCTACAGGGCCCAAGGGGAATGGCACTATATAATTCTGCACCTGTGTGCTTTCCAGTTCTCCCCCAGGTCACTCCTAAATAGGGAATGTTGTATCTCATGGGCAGCAAGAGGAATGTGCTTGCAAGCTGCAGACACACACATGCAAACTACAGAATCCACCCATATTACATTCCTCCCTGTAGTTTCGCATGGACACCACGTTGCCCACATCCTGTCCTAAGCTGCTGGCCCTTGTGTCTGCACAGATGTTAAACAACTCCTACATCCAGCCCCAGAGACAGACAGAATTCAACAAGGGATGACAGGACTGGGCGGGGGCAGGATGAAGTGGACCCTGTTCACAGAACAGTTGCGAGGCTGTTCAGGTCTCTCTGGGAGACCAAGAGAGGTCTGCAGAATAGCTTTATAGAGTGCAATTTTAGCAAACCATATCCAAAATAGAGAGGAAGCCGGCAAGGCTTATCTTCCCTTGCCTTTCACGCTAGTGACAAATCCTAAGTGTGCCATAGCATTTATTGTACATACGTTTACTGATATGTGGCTTCTAAAACACTGGGGTGGGGTGAGGGGGAGAAGGTACATTAGCCCGAAATGCCAAAACAGTGGAGGGCAGTTTTAATACTCCCAATCAATCTGCAGGCCCTTGCAGAATAAACTAATTTTGTTTCAGCTGTAAACTTCCTTTCTGTATTCAACCAGCTAGGCTAGGCCAAAGAACTATTGTTTGCAGGGTCACAAAACTCCTGCAGAGACAACCTTACCTATGCTTGATCAGAGAGAGGGAGAGAAAGCAATCGTATCTTAGCATGCTTCCAGGCAGTTACCTCCCACTGTAACTGTAGTAGTAAAAAATGAGGTACAGTGGTACCTCTGTTTATGAGCGTCTTGGAAGCTGAACATTTCGGTCTTCAAACGCCGAAAACCCAGAAGTAATTGCTTCTGTTTTTGAACACGCCTCGAAGTCAAATGTTTTTCAGTTTTTCCAATTGAACTTGCAACCAGCCCTTTGCGCCTCAGTTTTCAAACGTTTTGGAAGTCAAACCGTCTACCGGAACAGGTTACGTTTGAGAACCAAGGTACCACTGTATACAGGAAGAGTGCAATTAACACTGCCCAGATGGCTGGGGGGGGGGCAGGATGCTCCTTCTCACTGGCACAGAGAGGTAGAGGGGCTTCACCACAGCAATGGTTTTAGCTTTACCCAGGTTGGCAGTGAGCTCCCACAGTAGAAAGTCCTGGAATGGGGCACTGTGAGGCAGGGGACTGGCAGCTTTGGATTCAAAGCCCCATGAATTTCTCAAAAAGCCCTCAGCAGCAACAAGCTTGAAGCTAGTGCAGAAGAGCACAGCAGAGCAAAGAAACCTGCCCTCCAAAGATGGCCACCACATGGGAATGCAGAAGCAAAAGTAGGATCCAAGGGCTTTCTCAAACTGCAAACAATTTGAGAAACAACTCTTTCTCAGAACTCCAAGCAGCCCAAAAGGGTTGCCATGAACCAGGGTGTGAGTTGGAAATTTCCTGGTACCACCTTCTGAAAACTATATTTCAAGAAGGACAGAGGTCACCTCACGGTAGCCTGGCAATCTGGAATCATCAATGGCATCTGCTGAGGAGTCCAGCTGAACCAGCAGGCCAACATTTACCCCGGTGGAGTAAATCATCTGCCAAATCCATGCCAAAATGGATCTAGATCACTGGTCTTCAACTAGTGGCCCAGGAGCCTGATCCAAGGTAGGTCACTACTGGAGCTCTACTATCATGCAAATGTATGGTAAAAGGTTTAGAAAAAGGTCTCCAAATGCATGTTTGGGTCAAAACTGGGTCCTGGGTCTGAAGGAGTTGAAGATAATGCCAAAAATGCCTAGCTGGACTCACTTAAGCACCTAGCCCAATAATAGAACACTTCTCAGCAATTATCCGATATGATTGAATTTGGTCGAAAAGTTCAACAATGGTCTTAATCAAGCTGCTGGGGGGGGGGGGCTGCCTCTAATTTTGTGTTTTTCCATGCTCTGCATGGCCACCATTTTGTGCTATGCCACACCACTCCCATAGCAGCCAACTTGCGACTGGTACCCCCAGCACTCTCTCAAAATTCATAAGCAGAATAAATTGTGCAATAAAGAGGCACATATAGGAAGATCTGCATAATTAATGCAAGTCATAGAATCAGTTTTTCTAGGTACAAAATCTGTGTTTCTTTGTCACCAATTCTGATACTTCCAAAAACTGGTGCAGTCTTGTTTGTAGGAAAGTGATTCTAACTCTGTAGGAGTTTAGACTAAGAATAACTTGTATTGTTCTCTCCCAAGCAGCTGGCAGATGGCCAGGTAAAGTGGAATCCTAGTCTCCCCATACCATTTGTCATTTGGACATTATTATTACAGTCATACCTTGGAAGCCGAACGGAATCCATTCCAGAAGCCCGTTCGACTTCCAAAACATTCGGAAACCAAGGCACAGCTTC